TTTGAACACTTGGCAGTTTAGCTCAAGAAAGGACCTCAGAGTCCAGTACCTCATCCCATCAGGTGATCTTCAGAATCTGCCTGGAAAATTCAAATTGAAGTGATTCCGTTTCCTGGCATGGTATATCATCCAGGTTTCACACACGTACAACAATGAGGTCAGCACAACTGTTCTGTGGACCATTTGGTCTCAGAACACCTGGGTCCTTCCACTTCCTACCCATGTGGCCTTAGACAAATTGTTTGATCTCTCTGGGCCTCAGAAACTTCATCTGTAAAATAATGGGTTTGGCCAAGATGAGCCCCTGAGATTCCTTCTATCTTTCAATCTGTGATCCTGCCAACACCTACCCTTCCTATCTAGCATGGTTGTGGAGGATCAGGAGACCTCATGTATTGGAAAGCATTTTTGTGAGATGAGAGGCACTGTGAGGATGCTTTTACCTGTGTGTTTTCCATTGAGAAGATTCTAATTAGTCAGGAGCCCTCGAGATGTGATCCTGTAGTGTCAAAGGACTCTGACAACTCATGACCTGGGGCAAGAGATCTTGGGCCTCGGCTTCCTCATCTGTAAAACAAGGGGGGTGGATTTGATGACTCCTGTGGTCCCCTGTAACTCTTAGTCCGTGAACCTGTCTAAAGACCGCAGTGACTAGATGACCTCTCAAGGTCACCAGCATCTTTCTGGGACTAGAAATCACATACCAGGTATTAGAAAGTTTTATGAAACCTGACCTAATTTAAGAAAGATCCTGCCCTCTTGAGTCTCAGGGAAGCTAGAGTCAGTATTTTGTTTTGCCTCTTTCCCTCAAGCAATCAGACTGTAACCTGATTGTTTTTACTGAGTGTGTGTGATTAGTCGTCCACAAAAGGCACCACTCCAGTGCCTCCGTGGTGTTCACTCAAGGTCACCCAAGGAAGCATGAGGCTGAGTTACTTTGAGCTTTATAAATTAATGCTACTTTAATCATTTATTCAGTGAGTATGAATGGACTATTCTCCTAAAGATTATTACAGTCCCGGAATTTGACTTTATCTGAAATGGTTCTGAAGTGATCGAATGACAGCTTTAAATCTGTCACTGTAGATTTTAAATTATTTACAGCTATGTGAGGCCAGTGCTTTAACAGTTGGTTTATGATGTGATTTCAGCTTAACACTTCTAAATGTGGTCTCTCTGCTCCTGCAAAGCCAACAGAAATCCACCAAGCTTTTTAACGAGGATCCCAAAACATATGAAAAAGTGATCTCCATGGCATAGTTTGGCTTTTACTGTCTTCTTTTTTCTGCCTTTTTTTTTTATTGTTCTAAATTTTCTCTGCTCACCTGCTCTGGAATGACTACAAGTCAAAATGACAGGCTCATAATATGGGACACATAGCTTGGCTCCCTGCCTTCTCTCCTTCCTACTAGGTACATGTTGTTACTATGGATCTGAGGGCTCAAGTCTGCCCATAACTCTGAGACCACTTTTGCCTTAGTCAGAAAGTTTTCCAGGCTCACAGTGTCGGAGGCTTAGTATCTAGCTCAATTCGCCTGCACTTCAGACAGTAAATCAGAGCTTTAAAGACTATGGCTACTTTTCCAGACCAAGTATGTGGAATGGGAATGCAATAGTTCTGACCTTTCATCTTTCAGGACCTCCCATATCTCTAGCCCTTTATGCCTAGTCTGGTGCTTATTGTCTGATTTCTCTAGGCTCTATACCTTTTTCAAGCCTACATCCATAATCCTGCCCATTCCACCATGCTTTAGCTAACTCCCCTGGACTATGAAATATTTAATCCTTTTGTGGTTCAAAGCCATGACAGCCTTCTCCTCCTTCTAACATGAGGTAAGGAAGACCTTTGATTTTGAGTCAGAGAACTTAAATTCACAGTAACCTCCTTGGGCATAAATTTCTTTATCAGTAAAAGGATCTCAACGACCTTGGAGCTTCTTACCAACTGTGATCCTAGGAGTTTTCTGCTACTTGCTACCTGAGTGGCCTTAGGCTAAAGTTTGGATTTTGCCTCCAATCAGCCCTGATTATCTTCAGATATGTAAGGACAAAGAAATGCTCGTCTCAGAGACAAGGCTATCCAATGCAGATGTGCAGTCTGCTGGAAACACTGCCTTTGAGGGCAGTTAGCTAGGTATAGTAAAGAGCCAGGCCTGAAGTCATCTTCCTGAGTTCAAATCTGGCCTCAGACACTTCCTAGCTGTGGGACTCTGGGCAAGTCACTTAACCCTGTTTGCCTCCGTTTCCTCGTATGTAAAATGAAGCAGAGAAGGAAATGGCAAACCACTCTCACAAAGAGTCTGACACAACTGAAACAACTCAACAATAAGGGTCAACTTCCTTCATAAAATTCTTTCTGCCTACCCTAGCCCCCAGTTTAAAAAATAATAATAAAAATAAAAAGATCATTACCTTTAAGCCATATTACTCATACCAACATTGCACGGTGTGATTTATGAATATTTGTTTGAAAGAGCCACGGTTAACTTCATAAAAAGAGATTTGTTCTCCAAGTTTTCATTAATTAAGATGTCACTGCACAATATTCACTACTTTAGAATGTATTTCATACCTTTTTCGATTTGGTTGATCTAATTGCAGAAATGAACGGTTTTTTTTAAAGTCCACTTTTAAAAACTCATGTCAGTAATGATATTGCCAAACTATAAGTAGTGGGAAGTAATGTTTTATTATAGGATCAAAGATCTAGAGTTGGAAAGGATCCTACAAGTCATCTTGTCCAACCCCCTTATGTTATAAATGAGGAAACTGAGGCCTGAGGAGGTTAAGTGACTTCCCCAATATCACAAAGTAAGCAACAGAACCAATAAAACTTAGGTCCTTTGATTTTAAAGGGTTCCTTCCCCTGTACCACACTGGCTCCTTAATTAAATTATCCTCACAATTAACCATATAACCTTTCTAGACTCCCAAGACAAAAGGCACCTTCTTTTTACAGTGAGCCATATGAGATGCTTTTCATATAGGGATATATAGGTAGAAAAATGAATCAAATTGGTATTCTAGCAATAAATTAGAATTAACATAATAGTATGAACATTGGCATTTGAATCTTTTCAGAAGAATTGTGGCATGGCAGTCAAAATATCTGGAATCAATCTTTGGTTCTGTCTCTGGGCTTTTGGCAAGTTGTCAGCCTCTCTGGCTATTAGCTATCATAACTGACCTTTAGATCTAGACCCATTCCTTGACTTAATTTCCCCTGACAATTTACCAAGACAAGGTATCCTTTCTTGTGCCTATATTTGAGAAAATGCATTACAATTTTGAAAATCTCTGGTGGCAGCATTCTAAAAGACCATGATATAGAAATGTTGCTCAATAAAACTCTGTCAACAGAACATGGTCATGTCTCTCTTTTCCTTGTCTTCCTCTGTTTTTCTCTTTCTTTCTTATTGTACTCCTTCTTTCTCTATATCCTTTCTGCCGTATTCCCCTGAACTGACCATAATATAGAACTGAAGTATGAGTTTTTAAAAATTAATACTTCAATATATTGGCTATGGACAGACCACTCAGCCTCTCAATTTGCTCATCTCTATAAAGTGGGAATAATCATATTTTTATTACCTATCTTACAAGGTTGTGAAAAAAATACTTCGTAAATCATAAAATGTCATATAAAGTGAATTAATATTAATCAATAGTATGTTTCCTGTTCTTCATTCAAAAACAGTGGTTTAGTAGAGTGTTTTCATTTGTCTTATTTTTTGAAGGTTTTTTTTTAACTTGTGGGGCTCTTTATTAAGTCTCTCCATGTCCTTTGATAGGAAAAATATACCTACCCCTTTGCTGGAAAATAGTAATACCCTTCTTAGAAATCTCCGAATGAATGGATTCTTATGCTTTCACATTTTGCCATGAATTTTAATGAAGAAGAAATTAGAGCCATAATTATGAAATTTGGACAGTAAATCTAATGTCTGATCTGATTTATCTGAATTTTCTGATATCTTTATTTTAGGCATTGATGAGCATAAGGGGAAAAAACAGGAATTGACAGCCTTATCATCCAAATTTGGGAAGACATTGAAATCCAATTTCATCAACTAGAGTATGAGATTTAGAGATGGATAGGACCCTGGTGATCTCTTCCTTCCCTGCTTTCATTTTCAATGATTCTAGATACTAATTAAATTGCGGAAGGTAGCATAGCACTATGATACTCTAGAAACTATGGCTGAGTTTAATTAGAAATATTCCTGAGACTGCTCCTGCTGACCCTGAGCTCCAACTTTCTCGTGGATCTTGGATTCAGATCTTGTCAATAGTATCTTTTGTAATTATGCTCTGGAAAATCCTACCCTGGAGAGGGTAACTATGTGATGTCATGGCCAGACCCAGCCCAAAGGAAGAAACAACTAGAGGTCTACCGAATTAGAGTACCCTGGGCAACTGTGTTGCCATTCCAGGAAAGGGTGTCTCATAATATCTCTGTATGTGAAATGCGCTTAGTTAACTTGAATTAATAGTTCTGAGTACTGTACAGGAAAACTTTTTCTGATGTGATTTATGTTCCTCAAATTTTACAGCGCGTTTCTGTGAATTTATTGATAAATTTGCACACTCTGTTTTATGATCCCAACTTTATTTTCCTTTTTGATTTATCACCAGGGTTCACCCATGGCAGTATTTGTATAAAATTAGTGCTGTTAATTTTAGTTTTAAAAATTGGCATCTTGCTCTTGGTGTCCAAATACAACAGGGAGCACCAATGTCAATGTTTTATTGAGCACTAATTTTACACATCATATGTAATATCCACTTTCAGCACCTGAGGATACCCTATTTGGCCTACCCTTATTCAGCCAACTGGCTGTCACTGGAGTGAGAGGACATGAATTAGAAAAGAAATCCCATCATCCTAACAAACTAGTGAAGTCTATGCTGCCCCGTTGGAGGTGTCCAGTAGCATGGTAGCTTTCTATGACTTTCCATTATTCTTAGATTTCTCCTTTCTTGTTTTTAACATTTCTCAGACGTTGGAGCTTTTTTTGAAGAGGGAATGTGGCTACGGTATAACTTCCAAGCAGCAGTGGCCAAAGATGCTACCAGTCGAAGTGGGAACTCGGCTGACTCCCAGAATGCCACACCAGACCTGGCCAAGGAAGAACTCAGTTTTAGCTTCAGCACCACCAAGGCTCCCTGCATCCTCCTCTACATCAGTTCTCACACTACAGACTTCCTGGCCGTTCTGGTTAAACCTTCTGGTAAGGATTTCTACACTTCTCTGGGTCACCTGTGCTAGAATTTTCAGAAATTCTCAGAGGATGAGAAGGGTTGTGCTCACCTGGGTAGTGGAGGAGAGTTTCTAAGGAGGAACACAACATTTGTAATCTCAAGGCCAGACCAGGTCAGGTAGCAAAGGGACAACAGCTGCTGCCAATACGCAAAAACTGGAATGAATGAGAGAACTAGCACTGTTTAGAGTTTGGAGTTAAGGGAGTCTGCTTGAATTGCAGGAGCTAACGTTCAGGGAACACCATGTCATTGATGCTTTGTCCAATTCAAGCTGCTTCTCAGAACTCTGCTGGCGGTGATGTGCCAAGGGGTCCCATTTCAGGCTGAGGCACCCTGCAATTCCACTCAATAAGCATCAATTAATTGGTGATTGTGTGTAGAACATCGTGCCAAGCCATCCTGGGGTAGGAAGTTTAAATGGCATGGTCTTTACTTTGTGGGTCTTCAAGTCTAAGATAGATGTAGTTTTTGCTTTTCTCTGTATTCCCAGCACTTAACACAGTGCCTGGAAAGCTTACTAAAATACTTGTTGATTGGCCAAGGAAGAAGGATAATGCCTCAATCTGTGATTTCATTTATATAAGGGAGCTCCCAGCAAGGAAAATCCCTCTACTAATGCATGTCAGTAACCTCTATGCCTTAAAGTCTTAGAGTTGCCTAGAATACTGTTAATTAAGTGGCTTGCCTGCTATCACACAGCCAATATGTTGATTTGAATTCGGGTCTTCCTGGCTTCTAGGTGGACTCTCATACCCTACATCAAACTATCTCTTATGACTTATCTAGGAAAGAGAATATGCATTTATGTAGTGCCCACTATGTACCAAGCACTTTTTGAAAATATTATCTCATTCCATCCTCACAACAACCCTGTGAGGTATTGTTACTATCCAAATTTTATAGATGATGAAACTAAGGAAAACAGAAATTAAGAAAGCTTTCTAGAAGAAGTGACATTTGATTTAGACTTTAAAGAAGGGGTAAAAATTCAACAAGCGAAGAGGGGAAAGGAGCACATTAGTTTGATGAAGAAACAAACATCCATAAACTTATCTGAAGCATCAAATTCCCACATACAGAAAAATGCAAGTATGATCACCATCTTCACTTTGGGTTTTCTTCTAGTGATCCTGATGGGCACTATATGGTATATCAGCACTTTGTTTAAGTTAGTACCATTCAACAACATGACAGTTAAAAAGGAAATTGTAAAAGCTTATAAAACTCGGAAAATTTTTATTTAAAAATTGCAAAATGAAATAGCCTCAGATCTCTGAATTATATAATTATATAATGAAGAGGGAAACTGAAATTTGGTGTTAAGCACTTTACAAGGTAAACTATAAAGTCTAATATTGTTCCCAATAATACGACCTTCTTTAGTAGAAAGCAAGCTCCATGAGGGCAGGGACTGTCTCGCTTTTGTATTGGTCTCCTCAGTGTCTACCTGCCTGGGATACAATCCTAGTACCTGGTATACAAGTGCTTAGTAAATGTTTGTTGATTTATCCTCACTAACTAAATTACTTGTAATATGATTAGATTCACACATTCATACACACACACACACACACACACACACACACACACACACTCACACAAACTGATCTGAAAATTTAAGATTTCTTAAAACCAGCCTTATGTTATTTGGCACCATTACTGGTGGGAATTTAAAAATACATATTTTAGAATTTTATTTACTAGAATTTCACCAAAGTTCCGTCTGAAGAGAAGATCTCCGGAATGAAACTTCTTTTCCATCCAATAACCCACCTCTCCATTATCCTACTTTGCTGTTGTTGTTCAGTCATTTTTTCAGTCATGTCCAACTCTTTGTGACCCCATGTGGGGTTTTCTTGGCAGAGATACTGAAATGGTTTGCCATTTTCTTCGCCAGCCTCAAACAGAGGGCTAAGTGACTGGCTTAGGCTCACACAACTACTAAGTGTCTGAGGCCAGATTTGAGCTCAGGAAGATGAGTTTTCCTGACTCCAAGCCTCTACCCACTGCCACCAAGCTGCACCCCCATCATCCCAGCTGCATTGTTATTGGTTTAGCTACAACAGTCAAAGTCTGTAAATTTGTGCAGAGGAAAAACAAATCCCTGGAAGATATATGGATGTCTACTTTGATGTCCCACTGTTACTTCAAATTCATCCTTAGAAAACTCCACCCAAGAATGTTCTGCTCAAACTAGCTTCCCCACCCTCCATACAAACCCATGTCTTTCAATGGTGCTGCCATTTTCCCAATCACAAAGGTAAAATAACCTTGGAGTCACCTTGGACTCTATCCCTCTACCACTGGCCTCCCCTCCCCTCTCCTTTCTTCACCAATCCAAACCAATCATTCACCAAGTCCAGTAAGTTCTTTTCTGAAATATTTTACATCTATCACCTTATTTTCATTCACTCTACAATATCCTACTGCAAGTCCTTATCACCTCTCGCTAGTACTAATGTTATCATCTCTGTTTTCCCCTGTTTCTAATCCAGGGCTTCTTAAACTTCTACTCCTGACCCCATCAGCACTTCTTAAACTGGGGGTTACAACCTACAGTCTCTGCCAAATTCATCTACCTAAGACACGGCTTTACATTATTTTGCCTATTCAAAACCTTCAGTGCACTGCTCCCCAGTACCTATGGTAAAAAGTCTAAATTCCTTAATCCGGAGTACAAGGCCTCCATAGTTTGTCCCCTAGATGCCACTCTCACCTTACTTTCTGCCATTCCTGTGCATGAAACATTTGTTTGAGCCAAACTGGTGCATTCATTATTCACCTACTACGACATGTGTCTACCTAAAAACAACTATAGCTAACATTTATATAGTGCTTACTATGTGCCAGGCACTGTGGTAAGTGGTTTATAATTGTTATCACATTTTATTATCACATTTTATCCTCTTGGAGGTAGGTGCTATTGTTATCCTTATTTTACACATGAGGAAACTGAGGCAAACAGGAGTTAATTGACTTGCCCAGGATCACAGCTGGCAAATCTGAGGTAACATTTGAACTCCAGACCTGGCTCTCTATCTACTGCACCACCTAGATGCCCCTAGCCTTTTGCTTATCTTATTTCTGCTTCCTAGAATGCCTTTTATCATCCTTTTTGTTTATTTCAGTTCTATTTTTCCCTCAAGGTCCAGCTTTAAATTCCAAACTTCTCTATGAAGCCTACCCTGGCCTGGCACAGTCCACACTGGTTGCCTCCACCTCTGAGTTCTATGAGCACATGTCAATATTCTTCACTAAGTGCTCAGCATAGGTTGTCTCATATTGGCCTTTGTCTTATTTGTCAGATCTTTCTGTCTAGAGTACAGGCTCCTTGACTACACAATCTTCCCTTTTTTTTTTTGCTTTTTTTTGTGAGGCATTTGGGGTTAAGTGACTTGCCCAGGGTAAGTGTCAAGTGTGAGGTCAAATTTGAACTCAGGTCCTCCTGACTCCAAGGCCAGAGTTTTATCCACTGTGCCACCTAGCTGCCCCCGACTGCACAATATTTTAAAGTCATTTTAAATTGTACCCTCCAAGTTTTAGTGCCCAGGAACAAAGCCCTATTCACCTCACTCAATTTACATCCCTAATTTTTAGGACTTATACAGTGCACTATACTCACTTATGTTCCGTAAATATGTGTTAATGATGATGGTGACTAAGAAAAAAGAACTCTGTCAAGTACATCATTTACTATAGACCCTCAAATAGAAATAGTTTATGATGGTTTTAATTCATTTAGGAGATGAATGTGAGATCAATGAAGTATCTCTCTCTTTTAATGTTATATTTTAATGGTTAAATATTAATACTCTCCTCACCGTCATATTGGCATCCTCTTATTGCTATTGGAAGCATTTTAAATACATCATTTGAAATTTATTACTTAAGTATATTTGAATAACCATTTTGAGCCATTCGCCATACTCTGGCTTCCTAACTCTCGTGTCTCCCTCAGAACACGTTATTTCTGCCATTTTTAAATGATGAAACCACAAAAATGTAAAATTTTAAAGAAAATCATAAAAATTAACAAAATAAACTAAAAGCCAATTTTTCTACAGTTATGAAAGCCTGGAGGTATACATAAAAAAGAGAATTTAAGGGTAAAGGCATCTAGACGTTAACACAAATGTGAATTCTCCCCTCCTCCGCCTCCACAGCAATCAGCTAATGAAACTGTATTAAGTACCTTCAAAGTGCCAGGCATTGTGCTAAGTGTTGGGAATACAAAGAAAGTCAAAGGACAGTCTCAGCTCTCAAGAAGCTGACAATCTAATGGACAAGGCAGTGTGTGAACAATTATGGACCGACAAGCTATGTACAAGATAAGTTGGAGGTTATCAGGAAAGGTAAGGCAATGGAATTAAGAAGGAACATCAAGGCCTTCCTTGGAACGCGGAAAGCAGAATCTTTGCTAGATTTGAAGGAAGCTAAGAGATGGACATAGGGAGGGAAAGAATTCTAGGCATGGGGGACAGCAAGTGAAAATGCCTAGAGTTGGGTGTTTGGCGAGTATCTATCATATGCCAAGAACTGCCAAGTTCAGTATCACTAGATAGAAGAGTACAGTGGGGAGAGAGGTGTAAGGCATGAGAATACTGGAAAGGCGAGGGCAGGGTGGGCAGGCTTTAAAGTGCTTTAAACACCACGCAGAGGGTTTTATATTTAATCATGGAGATAATAGGGAACCACTGGAGACTGGTTTTTGGTGGAGTTTATTTGAGGGGGAGTTTGATGTGGTCAGATCTGTGTTTTATGGAAGTTGAATTTGGCAGCTGAGTAGACTAGAGTGGAGAAGCCAGGAGATCAACCAGCAGGATATTGCAATAGTCCAAGCATGAAGTGACGAAGGACTGTCCCAGGGTGGTGGCAATGTCAGAGGAGAGAATGAGGCATATACAAAGGTAGATGTGCAAAGGTACAATGGACAAGCTTTGTCAACAGATTGGATATGGGGGATGAGAAACAGTAATGGGTCAAGGATAACACATAGGTTGCCAGCCTGGAGGCTGGTGGTAATACAGTAATAAGGAAATTAGGAAGAGAGGAAGATTTGGGAGAAAAAAATAGTAAATTCAATTTTGAGTTTAAGATATCTATGGGACATCCAGTTGAAGGTCTCCAATAGACAGTTGGAGATGCAAGACTAAAGGTCAGTGGAAAGGTTAAGGCTGGATGAATAGATTTGAGAATCATCAGCATAGAAATGATAACTAAATCCATGGAAGTTGATGAGATCACCCAGTGAAATTGTATAGAAGGAGAAGAGAGGAAGGTTCAGGACCGAACCTTATGGAACATCCATGGTTAGTGGGTATGACCTAAAGATCCATCAAAGGAAACTGAGGAGTAGCCAGATAAGCAGGAAGAGAACCAGGATAAAGTAGTGTCATGGAAACCTGGAGAGAAGGGGGTATCAAGGAGAAGAGCTATAGAGGTTAAGAAGGATGATGACTGAGAAAAGGCCATTAGATGTGGCAATTAAGAGATCACTAGTAATTTGGAGAGAAGAGTTTCCATTGAGTGATATGATAAGCCAGCCTGTAGTTAAGAAGAGAATGAGAGGAAAGGTAGTGGCTCCTACTGTAGATGGCCTTCTCAAGGTATTTAGCCACAAAAGGCAGGAGAGATACAAGTTGATAATGAATGAAAATGGAAAGATGAGGTGAGAAGGTTTTTTGTTGTTGTTGTTGTTGTTGTTTTGTTTTTAGAATAGGGAAGATTTGGACATGTTTGTGGGCAGTAGAGAAGCAGTCAACAGAAAAGGAGAGATTAAAGATAAGTGAGATTGGGAAGGAGAGGGGCAATCTGCTATAGGAGGTGAGATGGAATGGGATCATTTGTGCAAGTAGTACTTATTTGCTTGAATAAACAAAGTTTGCTTTGGTAATGAGAAGGGCTATCTCAGTACCACAGAAGGCTTCTATGAGAAGTAAGTTGAGAAGCAGGGGAGAAAAGATGAGTATAGAAGAGGCATAAAGCAAAGAAATTGTTAAGACTCACTACTACTTTTTTACACAGGAACTTACAGATTCAATACGACCTGGGAGGCAACAGAGAGCCATATAATATTGGTGTAGACCACCTGTCAATGGCCTCAATTTTTTCAATAAAATATGAGGCAAGGTTTTCTGTTGAAAGGGTGCTGGAAGGAAGCTATGTAAGGTTTAAGGAGGGAGAGAAAGTTTTGACAAGCCATGGCAGTTAGTAGAAAAGTGTTTCAATTAGGGAGGTATAAAGGATTGCCTTGCTGCAGAGAGGGTGTAGCTGAGATTACATAACATAAATGTGTAGTGCATTTAGTCAGCACACTAATTTTCCCTTGCTTTATTCAGTAGCATATAAATAAGAATGAAGTCAGTATTTGGTAGGAGTACTCCAGGGCTGAGGCTTGTCAGGGCAAGGTAAAAGTAAGATTTCCAGAAACTAGGAGTGGCAACATTTCATGAAAGAATCAGTGAAATAGAACTTGGAAGCAGATTCCATAATTAGCAGGTAACCTGCTAGAGAATCTACTTCCTGAATTTCACATTAAAAAAATTCCCAGGCAGCTAGATGGCGCAGTGGATAGAGCACAGGCCCTAAAGTCAGGAGGACTTGAGTTCAAATCTGGCCTCAGACCAAACACTTGCCACTTACTAGCTGTGTGACCCTGGGCAAGTCACTTAACCCTAATTGCCAAAAAAAAAAATTCCCAAAGTTAGGTATTCCTTTAACAAAGTAAAATAAAATAAAACAAAGACTGTGTTTGCACAATTCAAAGTGACCAGATGAAATCTTCAACCAGTTAGTCAGTCAACTAGTTTTGTCTACATGGTGTCAAAAAAAACCTTATAAATTATTTTTAAGGAATCTATTCCTTGTTTGAGGCAGGAGAGGCAGCATAGAGCAGAAATTTGCAAACTGGCATGGGAGGAAAATGAGTTCAAATTTGCCTCTGACACATAAATGGCTGTGTTACCCTCAGTAAGTCGCTTAACTTCTCAATGACCTACACAACTCACTGAGACTTTAAGTTACAGAGAAATTACAGAATTGTACTGGTAAAAAAGATTTCTTCACCTGGGAGTTTCCCGTACCAAGAAAATCACAGTTCCAGACCCTATTCCCTATTCCTTATGGTATAAAATGGAAGAAAGATGGACTGGTCATATAGCAAGAACAAGAGATAACTGATGGACCCTGTGTGTGCTTTATTTATATCCACACAATGTCAGGGGATCCAGGCAGAGGTTTCTAACATTTTGGAGGGCATAGATCCCTTTGGCAGTCCAGTGAATTTTTTTAATTCATAAGATAAAATATGTACAATTTCCAAGAAAATCAATTAAATTGAAATAAAGTTGTAATTCTTCCCATCCAAGTTTATGGACCACCTGAAATCTATACATTGACCCCAAGTTAAGAGTCCTGATCTAGAGAAAGTATCCCAATAAATTGGGCCAACACCTAATCATATAAGAGAGACCCATTGTCTAGCCAGGAATAGATAGTTTTCAGTCTACCCTCTGGAGGGAGTACCAACATGGATGAGATCACAGTCCCATTAAAATATGGATGTTTGAGTATAAAATAGATCCAGCCTATGGATATAAGAAAAGCCTAGGGAAAAGTATAAAGAAATTCAGGAGGCTGAACATAAATAAGGAAGTCATAGAGTATCACAGGCAGAGAGAGAGTTTTAAGGAACAAGAAGAGAAGAAAAAACAGGAAATATGGTTACTCTTTATTTTCAACAGTCCTGCTTCCCAGTGTAGCAATGTCATCATGTTGTTTAAAAGGAAGCAGAATACTAAATTACTTAAAAAGGAAATGATAGCATAAATAACATAAATGACCATAGCACATCAAAACCAGAAGGGACATAGAATCCACCTAGAACGGCCATTTACACCCAGTCAGAGGATCCAGAGAGGAATGGAACCTTTTTGAGTTTCAGAATTTGGAAGAGATACCAATCGTATGGAGGACAGACCTTGCATAGAAAAGGAATAATTGAATTCACATTTTGGGATATGCTTTACATGCAAGATCTCATTTGATCTCTATTTTTTTTTTGGAGGCAATTGAGATTAAGTGACTTGCCCAGGATCATATAACTAATAATTGCCTGAGACCACATTTGAACTCAGGTCCTCCTGACTGCAGGGCCGGTGCTCATTTGATCTTTACAACTTCTGTTCATGGATGAGGACACGGAGGAGCCTCAGAGAGGTTGATTGTCTGACATAAACCTTGCCTCTCCCTGACTATGCTCTGCACACAGGCAGTGTTTAATAAATGTTTGTTAAATGGCCTGCCCAAGGTCACACTTCATTGTCTGGAATTAGGACTACAACTGGAACCAGGGTCTCCTAAATCTGCATATAGAGTTCCCTCCATTACACTGTGCTATCTTCTGCTACAGAGCAGTGGAAAACATGCTGAATCCAGAGTCCAGAGAACTTGATTCAAATCTTACCCCAGCCACTTACTCTATGTGTGATCTTGGAAAAGTTACATCCTTCTGGGCCTCATTTTCCTCATCTAAAAAAATGAAGGAGATTTCTCCCTAAGGTCACTTTCAGGTCCAAATCCCATGATCTTTCATCATAAAAACAAATCCTTTGCTCTTTAAAAATCATAAATAAACAGGAAACAAAGTCTATGGCTATTATTCAGATAAACCGAAATCACTAAATAAGTAGATTATCCCTGGTTGAGGGAGGAATAGAGAGAAAAACAACTGAGTATGGAAGGAGGGACCGGGGAAGGCTTGAAAACTTTCAGCCCCTTTTATTTGCATAAGGATTGATGCATCCTATAGAATAAAGGAAATCTCCATGTTTGTGGTTTCTTAGAGGCCACCAACATTTTCATCTATTTATCTTTCGTAAAGTGTGTTGACTTTAATATTGTGTAGTCACGATTATTTTATGTGCCACATGCCCTGCTCTGCTTACAGCAGAAGAGCATTCCTACACCCTGTGTTTATTTCTAATTTCTGACACTTTTTGGTGAAGCCTGCAGCAGTCTCCATAGCGCTATATTGCTACACTCATAAATTCTAGGCATAATCCCAACTTTTATAATTTGCACCATTTGCTGCTTTGACATTAAATTGATGGCCAGCAATGGCTCCTTATTTGCAAATAACAAACCCTTGCCTGCCCCTAGAGCTTAGATCTCAAGAATTAGCATGACTCTAGACCAGGACCTCAGAGTTCACAACTACCATGTTATTAAGGCAGAACAAGACGGGGAAGAAGGCTTAAGAAGAAGGAAAAAAGATGGGCATGTAAGAGGCATAAAGCAAAGAAATTGCTAAGACTTTCCACTACTTTTTTTATACAGGAAACTTACAGATTCGATACAACCTGGGAGGCACCAGAGAACCATATAATATTGATGTAGACCACCAAAACATGGCAAATGGACAGCCTCACAGTGTTAACATCACCCGTAATGAAAAGGACATAATTCTCCAGGTAAAAAAAATATCTATATATAATACATTCTTTATATATGACAACACTTGTATTTTTATTGCTGTTATTTCTTCTTTACAATTTTATGACTAGTAAAAATATAGATATATAATTCTTACAGAAAGGGCAATAACTGTTGATGGCTAAAAGATTATTGGGGTATGGGTGTATTGGACAGACTGATAATGGGTACTCTCTCTTTTTTTTTTTTTGGCTATTCCAATTTGGAGCTTTCTCTCAGTCCACTATTTTTATCCAATATGCTGTCTTTCTTATAGATGATCTCAGATTCCTGAAGTTTATACTGAATCCCAGCATGGGTTATTCTGGGTTTGGGTGCCCACTTCGTTCATTTTTCCCCACACACATACAAATGTCTCTCTGTGACTCCTTCTCTCTCTGTTTCCTTCTCTCCCTCTTTGTTCTTTTCTCCCTTTCTGCCTTTACCCTAATCTTAAAACCACAAGCTCACTTCTCCATCCCAGGAAGGTTCTGATTCCACTTCAGGCTCCAGAACACAAGGAGGTGGTGATTTTCTCATGTGACTTCCAATCCATTTCTGCTTCATTTATTGCCCTTACCCCACTAGTAGTTTCTACAGTGAAAGAAGTGGACCTGTACATACCATGAATAAAACATGACAAGAGGAAGTCTCCTTGGGAGCTAAGCCAAAAGATCAAGGATGGGAGCTGTCATTGTATTCTCTAGGAGGAGATCAAAATAGATACCTGTCAGGAGAAAGGACAGCGGGAAATGCTATCTTGTCAGTGGAAGGTGGTATCATCTGGCAGGAGTTCAGCAGTCTTTCAGCTCTCATTCACATTCAGAGTGGCTGAGATGGGAAGTTCAGACTGCAGAAAAGTGGCAGAGGGTATTATTGCCTCTCTATTAAAGGGTCTGCTGGGTGTCAAAGGCATAACTCAATAGCAAGGATGATTTAATCAACCACATGCCTCTTTTGACAGTTAAGCGTTGTGGGAGGGGTACTTCCTCGGATGTGGACACTAGTATTAACAGTTTTTTCTGGGACCAGTCCAAAGTTTTAACTGCAGTGTACACATACGTTCCCAGACAGTAACAAAATTTGTGCTTATTTGTAAACTGAATTTTAACAGGGGGAATGAATAAGTGAAGGATTAAACATCATATGACTTCATAAGATTTAAGTTTCAGTCATGTCCAATTCTTTGCAACACTATTTGGAGTTCTCTTGGCAAAGATATTGCAGTAGTTTGCCATTTCCTTCTTCAGCTCATTTTTCAGATGAGGAAACTGAGGCAAACAGAATTAAGTGACTTGCCCAAGGTCACACGAGCTAGTAAGTATCTGAGGCCGGAATTGAACTCAGGAAGATGAGTCTTCTTGACTCCAGGCCCAGCACTTTATCCATTGTACCTAGCTGCCCTTTCATAAGATTCCAAACCTGCACTGTCACTTCCCTCTAATTTCTCTATATCTTTTGATGGGATAACCATCTATGGAGTTGCCTAGGATCCTGTCCTTCTTACTCTCCCTCTCCGCTTCACTCCACCCCACCCCACCCCCACAGTTCTGTTCATCAGCTTCCTCTCCACCTGGGCTTTCCTTCCCGCTGAAGCTACCTTAATTGAAGACCTCATCTTTTCGGGTAGACTGTTCTAAGAGTCTCCTTACTTCTCTTCCTGCCTCTGGTCTCTGCTGTCTCTAATCCTTTCTTTGCACCATTTTGTGGAAAATCTTCCTTAGGTACCACTTAGGGCATGTCGTTCCTTTATGACTGGACTACCTCCCGAATCAATGGGAAACTCTTGACCCTACAAGCATTTGAGGCCCTCCTCCATCTAGCTCTAACCAGCCTTTCTAGTCTTATCGCATAGTCTTCCCTTCACATATTCTGTCTTTTTATGTCTTTTTTTTTCAAGTGTCTCCCATGCCCCGAATGGATTAATCCTGACTTGCTCCCCCATTTGTAAAAGTTTCTCCATTTCTTCAAGGAGCAGCTCACATACTAATTCCTCCATCAAGTTTTCTCTGAAAACTTCAGCTGAAGATTATTTCTCCTTCTTCCTATTTCTCACGGCGACAGCTAGATGGCACAGTGCCAGACTGGAGTCAAGAAGACATCTTGAGCTCTAACCCGGCCTCAGGGTTTTACTAGCTGTGTGACCCTAGGAAAGTCGCTTAACCCTGTTTACCTCAGTTTCCTCATCTACTGGAGAAAGGAATTGAAAACCTCTCCAGTATCTCTGCCAAGAAAACCCCAAATGGGGCCATGAAGTATCTGACATAGTGTCTGATATGACTGAAACAACTGAGGAACAGCAACCTATTTCTTCGGGTACTTATCTTAAACCTCTCCTTTACACTTGTGTTATAGTTATTCATGTAAATATCTTTCCCCCATGCCCCATACTCTCATACCAGTATACTTCAACCCTCCTTCCCTCTAGTCTCTACCCATCCCACCCTGTTTTTGTGTTCCCTGTAACCCTAGTCTATTATTAACAAACTGCCCTTTACCCTTGAGCTCTTCCTTTGAATCGTCTTTTCTTCTATTGCTAACTGGAACTTGGTTTTCCCCCACCTACGCCGTATCTCTCACCACCCACTTCTTCTCTTGTACTGCCCAACTCACAGGACCAGAAGGAGGGGCAGTTAGCTTATGCCTTGTTTTCTACCATTTCTATACCCTTCCTGTATCACAGTCACCAAGCAATCACTCCATCTTTGTCAGGTCCACATCCTACCATCTCTTCTTGTTATTGTTCAGTTGTTTCAGTCATGTCTGACTCTCCATAACCCCATTTGGGGTTTTCTTGGAATGGTTTGCCATTTCCTTCTCCAGCATGTTTTACAGATGAGGAACTGAGGCAAAGAAAGTTGAGTGACTTCCCCAGGGTCACACACCTAAGTAATTGTCTGAGGCCAGATTTGCACTCATGAAGATGAGTTTTTCTGATTCCAAACCCGATGCCCTATCCACCGACACTGTGCCGCCTAACTACTCTTGCTTCTGTCTGTTGATTTCTAGGTCACTCTTCCTCTTCTCTCATTGGCTCCAGTGCCTGGCTCATAGTCTGCCTCTCCTTCTCAAACTGTCATCATCCTCAGTGTCTTCAAAAGTCATACTGATGACCATGCTATTATCTTGTCCACTTCATCATTCTCGTCAGCTCCCACTCCCTCCATTTATGCTTTACCTCAGCTAACCATAAGGGTGATTATACCTCAGACTCAGAACTATTTCCCCTCCAAAATAGTGAAGTCATAATAAAATATTCCTCTCTGATCAAAATCTCCTGTCCCTCTACCATTCCCATTGCCTAAGTGTTCCTGAGTCTGGTGTTCACCTTCAAATCAGCCTCCATCTAGTCTCTCCTTGTTCTCCCAGGCCATCACCTCTGTTCTGGCTATATAGCCATATTCATGGCCATATTACACATCATTGCAGGAATTTACTGTCCTTCCGTCCTTGAGTACCTTACTCTCTTGTTTCTGCTTTTTTCCACCCTGCTAATCTCTCTAGGAAGCCTAGTGGATAAAGCACTGGGCCTGAACTCAAGATCAGAGTTCAAATCCAGCTTCAGTACCCTTCTTTGCTGCCTGACCCTGAGCAAGCCACTTAACCTCTCTTTGTTTTGGTTTCCTCAGCTACAAAATGTGGTTAGTAATAGCACCTGCCTAGCTCCCAGGATTGTTGTAAAGATAAAATGAGACAAGATTTTTAAGGTGCAGGCCTAGTGCCTGGTACATAGTAAGCCCTTTTCCATTCCTACTTACCAGCAGCTGAATGAAGCCAGAGAAAGTCATAATCTGTGTTGATCAAGTCCGCAAAAATTAGTGCTGCCTGACCTTAATCAGGCCCTCAGTGATGCAGACCAATCCTTTTATTCATTTTTGATCATCTTCCTATCATAGTCCTCAAAGTGACTATTCTAATCTTTTCCCACTCCCCTCAAACTCCTGGCTGCAACTCCTCAAATATCTGCTTTTTCAGTAGATGCTGTATTTTACTTTTGCTTAATTAGATGATTGAGGTCATCTGTTGTCAATTCCTTCATCCCCCTTTGTCAAAACTGCCTTCTTTCCTGGCTTCTCCTCTTTTCTTTTTGACAATCTTAGAGAATCAGGTGGTCCACTTCCTTCTTTATACCAACCCCTCTACTTGTGCCTTGATCTCATCTTGTCTTTTATCTTCCAGGACCTTCCTCTCTACCCATTTGATTCTTCACCACCCTGGCTTCTGGATATCTTCACAAACACTGCTACTACCCTAGTCCATGGTCTCATCACCTCTCGTTTAGACTATTGTGTTAGTCTTCTAACTTACTTCCTTATTTCCAGTTCCTCTGTTCTTTTAATCTTTCATGCAACTGCCAAACCAAGCTTTTTAATGTACAGTTTTTATATCAGTCTCCTGCACCAGAATCATCATTGGCTGCCCAGTGCCTTGAGGATAAAACAGGGGCAGCTTAGCCCAACAGTTAAATCCCTCTGTAGTCTGAGTCTGATCTACCTTTCTAGTCTGATTGTTGTCTCTTCTCTCCACACATTCCATTGGAACTGGACTGTTCACTTTTCCTTGATCTTGCCTCCTTATATGTTGCTCCTTGCCTTGCATTTTCATAGTCAGTCATAAAATTTAGTACAGGAATCAGACCTTAGAGGTCATCTAATCTAATGCCTTTATTTTACAGACAAAGAAGGTGAGGCCCAGGAGTTTGAGCAACATGCCTAAGGTCACACAGCTCACAAATAGATTTCAAACAGATTTTCTGAATCTGTGTCAAAATCCATTTTCTGACAGACCTTTCTCATTTGCCTGGAATGTACTCCCTTCTCATCTCTGTAGAAATCCTTCTCTTCCTTGAAGCTCCAATTCAGATGCCACCTATTTTGTGCTTTTCCATAAGCCCTGGTGATGATCTCTGCCTTGGTGACAGCAGGAAATGTCATAGATTGGCAAGCCTGAATTGGAGTGTTAGGACTAGTTTACAAATCTCAGCCTAGTCAAGTTCAGT